CAGCAGAGACTCCTCTGCTAGACATGCAGGACAAAATAAAGTAAATTAGTACTTTGCCTTTGTGTTCACTAGAGACAAATTTCACCTTTATGTTTTTCTGTAGCTTCAGCCTTGTGTGGACTTTTTGCTATGAGAGGATTTCACTTCTAGCGAATGAAGTCCTAACTGAGCTTACACGGGGCTTTACCAGGTCTTCTGCAACCCTCTTAGTGACAGATTTAACCCCTGCGTGATACAGAGGTTTAAAGCTATGTCACATCCTCTGAACTACACAGTGATGTGGGTGGCACACATGAGATGGGCAGTATCTCCATCTGGACTACCCAGATATTGAGTGGGGTCCTTACAACTGTGCTAAGAAGAAAAACTAAATGCACTGTCTCATTAGAGTAATTCAAAGGAGCAGCTGTCTTTGAGGTGAAATAGTTTGTACTACTAGACCAAAATTTGCAATCCAACAAGGTATTTGGATTGTTTTTCAGCTAATCACAAACTGTAGTTTCAAACCTAGGCGTTGATATTTCTGAATTTTTCAAGATTCAGTTGTCTCAGTTATGTGAATTCAAGCATAATATTTCAGGCCTATCAAAGAATCTCAAATCAGAGAGTCTGAGATTACAAAGCGTGAATCCACTGTCTTTGCTAAGCTGGCTCCTCCACTCTGGCTGGAGAAAGAGTGACAACTGCAACGGAAATGGTATGACAGCCCCATCATTTAAATGTTTCTTCTTTACAAATGGTAATTCAAGATGTTTTGACAAAACCAAAGTATATTCTTTAATAATAACTCTGCCATTCAATGCCTCCTTGTGTTCAGTTCTCAATTCTCACATTGATACATCACTTGAGTGCCTCAACATCCTCCAAGGATGCCATCAAATGCACAGCTGGCAGCTGGCATATAGGGTTTCTTTTGTGTTCCTCCTCCTAACAGAAATATCCATAGAATGTAAGTTTTGAAAGAGCAGATATACTCATTTCTCCATGAAATGTCATGTGCTTTTATTAACAAAGGCTTAAGAAATACTGCTCACCATAGTGGAATTTCGATGAGCAGAAAATCAGTTCCCTAAGTGGAAATTGGCCAAGAGATAATACAGTGTCCTGTCACACAGTTTCTAGATCTGTGGGTTCTTGGGAAAACAAAAGTCTGCAAATCTAAGACAAGGGCATGGCCCTAGCTCTTCAGTTTGATGGGTAGATGCCTGCACGGCATAACTGAATGTCTATCTATTGCAGAGGCTTCAGTCCATGATACCGAAACATTTGTCAGTTGATCAGTAAGCTTTTGAGATGAAAAGATGCAGAGGAACAAAAATATTAAGAAACCACCATACCTCCCACACATTCAGAGGATGAATCATTAAGAGGCCAATTCTGCAAAGTGCTCCACACTTCTCTGCAGCTCTGCACAGGAAAAATTAAGCAACGATGTAAAACAAGAAAAAGTACCCTTCGCAACTGTCCCACCACCAACTGCTCGGAGCTATTCGTTAAAGATCACCTCTTTCTTTCCTCAGCCCACACACGGGGGTTCAGATGTCAGCAGTGGAACAAGTGATGTCTGAATTTAGCCCTGTCCATCTTTTTGATGATTCTTCCCAGCAATTGAAGGATAGAAGCGGACAAATAACTAGGGAGATGACTGGCATCTGTTGTTGGCTCTTCGAGCACTAGCTGCACTATGATGTATCCTAGGATGACTGGTGTTTTTTTCTGCTTTGGGAAAGGCAATCGTGATCAGGTCAGGCATGGGCCTAATTGCTTTGTACTAAATAAATTTGTGCTGTGCAAACCATTTAGACCATTTGTGGAACATGTGATGTGGAAACTATACCCTTGTGCTATGGTAAGCAGGTGGGAAGAAAACCTGCATGTTTATTACTCAGTGCTACTTGAGTTCTCGTCAGCTTGGCTTGCAAGAACAAGACTCTTTAGATGTAATCTACAGACATTCATTCATACTGAGATATTTTAACACCACCTTTTAATCTTCAAGCTTATTTCATCTCAGTTCAACGTTGAAGGGGTCAAGAATGAGATGCATATTTGTCTTCAGGAGCTGGAACCCCAAAATTGTGCATAGCCCAAATAGCAGATTTCTACAGAATAGCAGTAAATAATGTCGCAAATACTTAAAACAGAACAAGCAAGGAATATTTTTAAATACTTCTTTTTACAGGCCTCACACCAAACAAAATACCACTTATTTTAAAGCCAGAGCTGCAAGTTACTGTAAATCACAGTCAGTAGTTATTCATTGGCCTTAATAGATACCAGCGAAATCGGCAGTAATTTCATGGTTCACAGTGTTTCACATCTTCATGTCCAAATTTTCTGTTTTGCCTTTTCCTTTTAATTCTAAAAGTGGTCATTAACCTACAGTAATACATTAATGTGGTGTGGGTTGAGGTTTTTTGTTTGTTTATTTGTTTGTTTAAACTGTATGGCATATCGTGTCCTATTAAAAAAGTGTGACTAAAGAATTATGCAAAAGGCTTAATAATTTAAATACTTGTTCAGCCATATGGAAACGTACAATCTGGTTTATGTTGTGTGGGAAACCTAGAGTTGCTTTAAACTTAAAGAATTTTGAAACCTCCCATCCATTATTTAATACAACAATTTGCTAAAGCAGTAATAACTCTCATTCTGTTACAATTTGCCATACTGAAGATGCTTAGAGATGAGACAGAGATACAAGTTCAGGAGGATGCAGCACTGGAGCTTAGTCCCACTAGCTCTGAAAATACTATCACTTCATCCTTATGCAAGGAAATGTCATTATAATATTACACAGAATGGAAGACATAACATAATAGTTTGGCTCATTAGTATTTTTTTCCATGTAATGCTTTATAAAAAGAGATAAAGCTGAAGAAAATAAAAGACACAAATATTATGATGAAGTACATTGTTCTTATTTAAATAAATTTCCTTGAGCAATATATTCTTAAAAGGTGAAAATTAAACACTAATATTTGTCTTACTGTATAAAAGTGACAGTATTAGTTATAAAGAGCCCGATGGTCTTATGCTTATTTCATCATATTCTTAAGTTTTCACAGCAAAAATATTAAAATTTGCAATATTACCAAAAAAGATGCAAACCTGTCAAATATATTACTCTGAAGTAAATCAACAATTAATTTATAGGAACCTACCATAGGAACTATTATGTGGACAGTAGTAATGGTTTTCTATATAAAATCTATCAAAATTGTTGGGAGAAAATATACGAAGCGTAGCTGATAGCTGATGAAATCTGCAATATGGCCACAGAGAAATAATTTGCAGATCATCAAAGTTAGCTCTTATGCAGAAACATCCACCATGAGTTCATTAATTTCATTTTTCACTGGAGAACAGCAGGAGGTTTCCATAATGCAACCATCATAGGAAACTGATTTAACACTGTACTTTAAGCTTTACCCGTAGTTTGAACTTGCAACAGTTTAGATTTTTTGGTGCTCTGATCTCTTTTGCTCTCCAGAAGGCTACGTAAATATAAAAATCTTCAGCACAAAGACAGCTCTCTCTAAAGTACTGGCAACTGGTCTTAGTAGAAGACTGTTCAAAAAAAAGAAAGGAACAAACAGATTTAGCTGGACTGGTACAGCAACATTGGTAAAGCAACACAGTAACACTCCATACATAAACCAGAGAATTACATCATCATTAGAAACTGAGAGATTTGTAGTCTATGCCCTGCAGACACACATGCACATAAACTCCTGGAGCTCAGAGGACCCTTTGCAGATTTAAAGGTGCTTGTCTGTGTAAGTCTTTTTTAGCCTGAGTCAGCAGCCAAGCCCTGATCTTGCACCAATGAAGGCAAAGTGCACTTTCAACTATCCTGAAAAGCAAAAAATGTCAAGTGATTGATTCTTCCCAACCTCAGGCATTTAACAAAAGCACCTAGACAAGGACCTAATTAACCCAGGAACTGTTCATCAACCACAGAGGGAAAGCTCCAACCTCAACAAGGTGCTTCAGTCTCGCCCAGGTCATGGATAATGGTGTTCCTAGCTTAGACATCTCAGCCAGGTTACTGAAATTAGGTGTGATGACCATCTGGAGGTCTCTCTCCCTTTATATGAGTGCTCCTTGCAAGGACCATGGAGCTTTAACCATTCACATGATCAAAGACAATCAGTATATGTATATTCTGCTCTACTAGGCCTGCATCCAGCACCAGGACCAGCCAGAACTGTTTCTGGCTCTCCACCTAAATTAGGAAAGGATTCTGCTTCCTGTGGAAATTGTTGGCAGCTTTATAATTTCCCCCTCCCCACTGGCTAGACATCAAAACACATCCCTTTAAAAATTTCTCAATGTTTATTTAGTTCATATTCTGAAAGGAAACTCAGCTTGTTTTATTTGTCTTCAGGCATGAACTTGTAAAGGACTTTTCTTTAGTCAGTTAGTTGAAACTCTTAAGTCAGGAATAAGGCCTACAAATTTTCACTGCCCTATTCTGGCTGGTGGAGAATGAAGCCTCCACAGATTCTCCCATAGCAAGAGGAAAGCTCCTGTATGTTACTTAGTGGGTGCCTCACTTTGGTCCTCCCCAGATGAAGATGTTTTCTAACTGGAAATTACTCATTCCTGAGAAAAGCTTTGTCTCTACAGATGCTGGTCTACACACTGCTGATGCACCTCACCTCACATGGGAGGTCTTTGTACCACTGCAGGATTAGCTGTGGTGTGGTCGGAGGTGAATACAAGGACATCTGATTTTTATTCATTCCCAAACAGGGTAATAGAGTTTCCTTGCTTCTTACTTCTCACCAAGAAAGTGACTTTACCCCCTTTCTAATTTATGTCTGCACCACTGAGACCTGGCCCCTGGCCCAGCCGTTAGGAGAGGTACACTGCAGCTGGAGAAGTAACTGGGCGATTCCCAGACCACCGGAGAGCAGCACAGGGAGCAGTGCCACTTTGTTTGTGTTCAATGAATACGATCCAAGCACATAACGTTAAGATATACTGTACCTCCAGCTGTTTGCATCTTGATGTGTTTATTTCCTTCTAATCTTAATTAGAAAACAAAAGATAAAGATGGTTAGAACATTGCAATACATCACTAACTTAGAAAACAGTTTTAAAAAAACATGCAAAAAAGGTACTACTGTTCCAAAACCAGCTACTATTACTTTGGTTAACAGTGTTATTTTTCTTCATTTTTTTGTTTTGCAGCAAATTTTGAAAGCACCAGCCAGTGACTAAACTCCATGCTGTATGTATGCAACAGCAGCATTTTGTTGTATTAAATCTAAACAACACTACATGATTTCATAATTATATGTTTATGGCTTGTATATTAACTTCCTATAAACCTAACTCTTTTTCCCACCGTTCGAAAATATCACATGGAAAAGAAACAGTTTCCAACGGGTTTCATATAAGAACAGAAATAAACCTGAAAGCAAGCACTTACTAACTGTTATTACTGGAACTCGCCACAATGCAAGTAAACACCTTCAAAACTAAAAATAGTGCTGAGGCTCTGCAAGTGCATCTATCACAGCCTCTTAGTCCTAACAGGGTTTTGTTTTCTTTGAATTCGCAGAGCACTCAGAGCATGGAGAAGCTTTTCAGAAGACAATGTACCACATTGTCAGCATCCGCTCTAGGATCCTTCTGAAAAAGTGTGTTAAAATTTAAATTAAACGGGAACAATCACTTCAATGATTATAAATAGCCCCACAGCCTTAAGAGGCTCCAAGGCTAGCCAGTCTGTCTGAAATCATAATTGATTTTTAAAGGAAATACATCCTACTAGATAAAATTAAACTGAGAAAGCAGGAGAAATGCAACACGCAACCTTCCAATACCTTTTGGTGCAGCTTTCGTCTGACTGGAAACCATGGCAGCTGCATCCGACGGCAGGCCAACATACACACCACCATAGTTCCTGATTTAAAGAAACAATTAAAGAGACATCAGAGCTTAATTGTAACACTTCTCCCTATAATGTCAACACCATACAGCAGCATTACAAAGACACTGGACAGTCAGAGAGGAGGGCATCTCTGCATGAGGATCCACAGAGGAGCCTTCCCTTCCCATGGCTATGGGAAAAGTGTATATTAAGTGCCATGTGCTAATACCGTGCCAGGCAAAAAACCCTTGTGGATAGCTGTTACTCTTAAATGGGACCCAGGCTTGTGAAAGGAGCTATTTTTCACTCAAGTTCCTAGTATTTTTCATTAAATCACAACTGTCTTGTGACAACAAACCCCACCTGCCCAGCTTCTTCTAGACACCGAAATATCCAACTGAGGACAGAGCCAATCTGATGGTAATGTTTGACACTGGGACCACTGAAGAACCTCACTTCAAACAATGCACACCAATACAGCAGAACTTTGTCCTCTCCTCATTAACGAACAGCACCTGCATGCCCCTGCTTAGGGCCACACTTCGAGAAAACTGTTAGTAGGAAGGAGCATGAGGGCATTAGGTACATTCATAGCCCAACCCTCTCCCCTTCATGACCTTGCAGTGTGTACTTTCTGGCTCTGAGGCCTATATGAAAAGCAGGGACTGATGCAGGGAGGTGAAAATCTGGGTCCTTAAGAGCCTCTGCTGTGCCTGGAGCTACCTGCAGAGACTCCCATTAGGCTGCTCTGCCCCATTAGGTGCCACATTAATCACACCTCCTCTGGCCCCTGGGGTTCTGAGTTGGTTTCTGATTTGTTTGATGACAGAGTCATACTTCCTTCAATTTCCAGCCCAGTGGAGATCTCCCACAAGTGCTAACGCCATCTTCTGTGGCAGGGCTGGTGTGAAGGCAGAGGTCACTGGCCCTTATTGAGCACGTCACCTACAGCTGTGAGATAATATGCTCTTCTTGCTGTGAAGTTCCCCCTCCCCAACTCACTAACGGGGTGGGGGGACTCATCAACACTGGGCTCTGTGTGAGATTTCCTCCTCTCTTTTCTTATTTTCTTTTTCTCTGCTCTGGTGGTGTTGGTGGGAATTAGGAGGAGGGAAGGAAGGATGTACGTCTGGCGGCAGAACTCACTGCAGCCTACTGCATATAAAGCCAGACCCAGTAGAGCACCTACCTCCTTTTGTCATCATCTGATACGGATTCTTCTGCTCTGTAACATCAAAAGATACAAAGCATGTTAGCAGATTTTTTTCTTTCAGATACTCCATGACCATCTGGGTAGCTTCAGGAGCAAAGGAAGAAGGGGATTATTACTGATCTCAGTTTAATTCAGGTCATCCACAATTCAATAACGTACTCACACAGGCACAGAAAGAGTGACAACTTTTTCTATCTAATGTACAGAAGAATGAAAAGGATTGAAAATAGATGCAGCTTACTTTTCATGACCCCCACCAGTGATGCCTGAAAGTAGATTTGGGAGCTGAAACAGGTAAATTAACACTTCCTGAGTGAGTCCCCACACTGCTCCACACATAACAGGAACATAAAGGCTCCGCACATAACAGGAACAAGTTTGGGCTGCTGTTCCACCAAAAGGGGACTGGAAGGGACTGGGCGTCCATGCTGGCGTGGGAAAGAGGATGAAGAAAGATACACTTTCACAGCAGCTGTGCCAAAAGATGTTAAAGAACCTCCCCATAAAAAAAGGTGCTGCAATTCCTGAACGGAGTTGTTTGCAAACCAAATAACTGTTACTAATCCTTCATAAATAGGCAATAACTTCTTTTACCTTTAGGGTAAAATCACAGGTCAGTCTGTAGATCAATAGAGAGTCACAGAGGTTTGACTCTCCCCACTGAAATACTGTCCAGTGTAGGTGAACCAGAGCAGGGGGCAATCGGCATCGATGCGAAGGCAAATGTAGTATGGAAAACATAAAAATTTTATTCTTAATCCCTGAGGGTACAGTGCCTGTGCTGCAGTCTCTGTCTGTGCCGCAGCAGCAGTCTTCACTCAAATCACTCACCCACCTTTAATTAAATATTTGGACTTTGAGCTCTGCTTGCATGGCTGGGTATGGATCAAGGCAGCAGCTGCACTTTAGCTTGGTCTGCAACCTACCAACCTAGCAATAAAAATACAGGCAAAATAATTTGAGTGCTATTAAATCCACAGACATCCTTTACTCCTTCCCTGCAGCTGGGGGCAACTGTGACAACTGCCCAAGGAGTCCTGCACTGCAGCTGCTCAGGGAACCAGAAGATACAGTCACAGCAGTGCCCGGGGAAGGCTACAAACAGCAAAGGGGGCACCATGACCCAAGGAGAGCTCTGCTGTGGAAATGCTCCTGCACAGGCTGTTCACCCAGATATCCTCACCTGAAATTTCCCATCGAAGGACCAATTGCCTGGACTATAGGGGCAATGCAAAGATACTCCCCATCGTGAGCCAATCCATGAATTTCTGATCTGCTCCCAGGCAATTAAATTGAGAGCTGGCCTTCACCCAGTGTTAGGGCTAAATCGTGCTGTAGCCTTGAAAGGCATTTCTGAACTATGATCTTGAACAATAACAGATAACATTTCTTACTGGAATTTATTTATTCTAAAAGGCAGATGTGCCTACTGTTTAATCATCAGGACTGCATGCAATTACTGACCCCTGAAGTCAATGTGATTTTGGCCTGAAGTGCAGAGAGCTCATAGCAAGATGCAGCCTTAAATGCAAGAAAATGCCCCCTAAACCTCAGTCAGCACTCTCCTGGGAAGGTAGCAAATGTCTTAAAAATACTGCTACAAGTTGGAAATTATCTTACACTTATCTTCTTTATAAGCAGCAGAATATTACCAACTACCCTTTCTGCATCACCACAGCGAATAAGGGTACACAGGTCCTTTTAATAGTCATGGTTTGGGGTAAATCTAAATATGCTGCAGTTTTGCTAAATGGTATTCATGAAGGGCATAGCACTGAGTGGGGTGAGCCTCCTCATCTGCTGTCTTTGCCTACGTCTTACCACTCAAGACAGACTGAGCAATAAACTCCTCATTCTCTGGCTGTCCTGCTGCTCCTCCCTGGAGGAGCTAGTGCCATTTCAGAAGGCATTTCCCATCTCCTATGACCCCACACAGCCTAAGCCACCTAGTAGCCCTCATGCATGCAGCCAGAAAAATGCAGAGACAACTTTCCTTGAGGACTGTGAAGCTCCTCTGTCCTAGTGCGGACCAATTCCAGATGAAGAAAGTGGAAAGCATGTGCATATCAGTGGGTAGAAACAAGTCCTGTATTTTTAGGGAAAAAAAAACTTACAACCCTTTTAAGAAAGAGACTTTGGGTGCCAAAAGATCACAAACAATCATTTCTGTTGAACCAACTGAATGTGTCACAGGATTGATTTTCTCATAGAACTGGAAACATTTTCTATAATCCAGATTAACCATTATCCAGAGAAAAGAATCCTTTAAAAGCACTGGCAACTTCAGCTCAAAGCCTCTAAAATGGAGTTGTAAGAATAATAATCAATACTGTTCAACAGGAAATTAATGTCAATGTTTTTTTTTAAAAAGACTCTACTAGGCAACAGGGCTATTTTCTTCTGTTCTAGAAATGTTTTGTAATGGGACATCACTGGGCCATTACTGTCATTCTCTCACCAAAACAAATTATCCAGCTCTATGATTAAGCAGACTAGGTTTTTTTAAACATTTTCCTTTCTTCCTTTCCTCTTAATAGCTACAAATCAAAGTCTAACTTTGCAATACCTTTCCCCTTAAATGCACAACAGCAAATATAATCTGGGATTGTATGGGCCACAGCTCTCGGGCTGCGTGATGACTGGGTACAATCTGTTGTAGTCTTGTTAGGAAAGAGGAGGTGAGCAGACACAGGAGAAATGTGGAAGCATGAGAGGGGGGTGGGGGGAAAAAGAAAAATTCTGTTGATAGCTCTTAAAGAAGCAGCCATTTTCCACCCCTTTCTGTGGACTCCTTTCTAAGCAGTGCGGGAAGGAGTGCTGCTCCAGATCATGCACATTCACTTCACACCTCTTGCCTTCACACACTGTAGCTTAAGGGCCCCATTTTGAAAGGTGCCCAGTAATTTCACATGTTCAAATTCCCAGGTGCCCACTGAGCCATTCTGGCAGGTGCTGCTTCTGTGCCCAGGCTGGGTGAACACGGATGGCTGTGGGGAGCAGGGCTACAATGGCAACACTCAACCACGTGGAAATGAGAATGGAAAGAAGCTCCTTTGGTTTCAGCAGTGTTTCCCATTGCTACTTCTCCCAGACTCACAGAGAGGGTATGGGGGTACAGGAGTCCAGCACATCTTTCTCTCTTCCTCTCTACCTCCAACATGTCTCTAGATGCTTCTTCTGTCAGGGACAAAGGCAGAACCTAGCATTAAAAAAATCTTTAAATATCTCCATTTACAGAGTCCTCCAGGAAGAGCAAGCCAGGATAAGCTTTTCTGCACCAGGAATATACAGCAAAGGGAACTTAGCAGTCAGATGTGCTTTGTACTGATCTGCTGCTGTGTCGCTGCACCTTCCCTCGGATGTTGTTGACATCTACTGCAGAGCAACTGAGAGCACATTTTTCAGCAGGTAGCGTAGGTGGAGTCCCGTAGCCGGTAGGCGGATTTAACAGCAAATCCACATAACAGCATTCTATTTTCAGCTAGAATAAATGTTTCTTTTGGTAAGGATTTGTCTATCCCAAGAGGCTTCCTATCACCCTCCCTAGTCTGAAAAATATACTTCGTTCATCCGCCAGTTTTTACATCCATCAGTCGTATGTCCATTTGACGGTAAAAGAAGCTGCCATTTTTCACATAATGTTTTAAATATCAAATGACAGGCATTCACATTAATTCATTCCATCCACATTTTTCTTACTTCAGCTTTTATGACTCTGTTCATGCCGAGCATTATACAAACTCTTTCTAGCTGTGCTCAGTAGTCTCACCAGAAATTATCCACTAAACTTTGCAGAAGTGACAGATTACTTCTCCTCAGTTTCTCAGCGTTTCTTGAGAACAAGGGCCTGTCATTTGTATTTGATGGATTTCTTCTAAATATTTTGAAACAGGCTTGAACTCCTGTGTCCTCTTCTTCCTAGTGTCACTAATCTTCCTATGAACTTAGCCATATTCTGAGTATCACAGGCATTGCATGATTTTCTAGCACGTACTTTATCCTTTTCCAGCTAGCAATGACATACTTCTCTTTATTCGTGTGGTGGGAGTGTTGGCTGAAGCTGGCCAACAGACGCACCATTGATTTGAGGGTTGGAGTTCACAGGGAGAGATCACGTTCCCAGACCATATGTCCTTCTTGTCGCCACACAGCCCTCCATCTCACAGCGCTTTGCGTAGGAAGATCACATCATTATCCCTATCTTACTGGTGGAGAAACTCAAGGCCCAGAGGGCAACGCACCTGCCCCACAGCCACCTGGGAAGGCTCAGAGTAGGATCCAGCCCTCCTACCCTCCACCTAGTTGCTCACTCCAGGAGATGCTGGTGCTTTGGCAACGAGTCGCAGTCAAGAAACAAGAAATCTTTTGAGTTAGAATAACAAGATTCTGTGTCAAAAAGTATGCTGCAACTAAGGGCACACCTAAATGCTTTTCAGAATCAATTATGACTGAAATTTGGCAGCAAAAAAAGGTGGATTTTTTAAAAGAGACATTTTTAATCTTTAGCTGATAAAAGTGAAAATGTGTAAAATAAAAGCTTGTGTGGATCTATAATGCCAGTTAATATAAATCTGCTTTGTTCATTTCCACAAAACTAAAATAGTTTTTCTGGTATTTTACTTCCCTCGTAAAAATCTGCTGTTAAATATTAGGATGATTGATTTAGGACTTTTCAGGTCACCATTGCCATTCCTCATTAACAGATCTGTGTTTCTAATGTCTGACGAGAAGGCTCAACCATGCTATTACTCACACAGGTTGTTCCACTGGCTCCACTATACTTATCTGAATGAGTAATGGTTCCAGGATTGACCCTTTCACGTTGTTGAAGTCTGCACTAGTAATGAGTTTTTCCTAAGTTACCTCAATACTTTTTTGAAGCATGACAGATGATCTAACACTAACAAGTAGGATGTTCCCAGTTTAACTCCTAAAGCCGGGCCCTACAAATGCTTACACACACATGAACGCAGCTCTACATATACCCATACCTTTAAGCACAGAAATGTGCC